CTTCACACTGTTACACTGAGCTTTCATGCACAGCTTGGTGGGATGCATATATATATATATTTCTTTTTTTTGCAGCATCCCCTCTTGCCCGAGGCCCCCACATCTTCTACCAGCCACCTCAGCACCTTCCCCGGCAGGGTTTCTGAGCCTGAGCCGGGCTGGGCTGCGCCTTGGGGCTGCTGAGCTCCACATACTGTCAATTTCCTCCAAAAACATCCACTCGCTCCCTTAGGCATTGGCTTGAGTCATGGCTTTTTTCTTTCTTCTTCTTCTTTTTTTTTTTTGGCTGAATTACTCTGTGGCTCCGGCAAGGCACCAAGGCTTAAAAGTCCTGTCTGAAGCACGGTCATTACCAGTGGAGTGCTTAACCCCTGGAGGGGGGTATGTGGTGGAGGGAACTATGCGATGGGTGGGAGAGAAAGCAGAGCTGAGACAGTCTCTGAATCTTTTTCCTGTAATAGCATAATACCCTCCTCCCCCGTGTGTGTGTGCTGCTCTCAACATGCTGCTCTGCACCGTGTCCAAGTGCAGGTCTTGGAAACAGCTGCTGAGGACATTTGAGTCTCGAGGAGAGCCGGATATCAGCTGAGATCAGGTAAACTTGGGATATAGCGGCCTTTCAAAGCAGCACGATAAACACGGAGCAGCTTAAATGTTTGGACCGCCTCACTGCAACAGCTCTAACACACAGTCACAAACAGCAAACCTCTGGTTATTGTTATCTGATCAAAGATCGCTTGAAAAAGCAGAGAAATATGTAAGTATTTGCAGAGAGGCCGTGTCCTCCGGCAGACTCATGTATCACATTAACTGTGTGCAGAATGGAGCTTATGCAGCTGATTACACGAGTCCAGCTACAGTCGTTTACCCGCGGATAACAAAAGCAGTCGTGTAGCCTTTAAAGTTACAGACACCAGACTGTTTTATGTGTTTTGCTGAGCTACAAACTGCTTTAATGTGTGTGTGTGTGTGTGAGAAATGGCTAAAAGACAAAATGCTGTTACCCATTACACACGGAAACACAGCCTCTCCCAGCACAGAGGCCAAGAGAAACAGCAGAGTTCAGGAACTTGGAGCTCGTTTCTGTGTTGGCTAATTTGCTGGTTCGCTCGGGAGAGGGAAGGCAAGCAGATGGAGCTGTCATTAAGAACAATGACCAGCAGCTGTCTGGCCTGTTCGCTCTGATAAGGACCGGGCCCTGGCTATGTCCTGGACTCAATATGAAGCCTTAAGAGTTTACATCAAAGTCAAATGAAACATTATGATGTGAAAGTGCAGGTAAGTGGTGATCTGAACTCGGCTGTTCACCTGTAAAAATAACCACAGACGGACACAAAAGGAGTAAATTAGGAGGAAGCTGGAGACTTGCAGGCCAAGGGTGAATTAAGGGTGTTTTCAGCAAGTTTGCATAAAGAAAACACCAGGATACGTTTGCTATATCTGCATGCAAACATGAAGCACACACGTGCAGGTCTGAGCTGCTCCTTCTGATTTTGATGGAACATCTCTCCTGACGTCCAAGTGAGATTTCACGCTCATCTGCCTCCAGAGCTTCTCGCAGGCTGGACCGCCTCGCTGTTGCTCTCTGCTTACTTCATTTCTCCTTCTCCTCTCTGCTTGCTGGGCTGTCAGCGCAGCCAAAGCCACATTAGGAGATAAGAGTGGGTGGAGAAGGAGGACCAAATACCAAACGCATTAGGGCTATTAATCAAGATTAACAAATGCGAGGGAGACGCCGCAAATTTGGAAAACACACGCGCGGATGGGTGCATTTATCAAGGTGACACATTAAAACACACATTTACCAAAAAAATACCATAATGTTTGGTCTGGTGTGGCGCCAAAGGCAGGAAACGAACTACAACAGCAGATGTCGACGTTCGCCGGCTGGCTGGGAGTTTCATGTTGGAGAAACAAGCGAGCGCAGAACGTTTAATTACACAAAGCGATCCAAACTTCTTTTTTTCCCAGTTTTCCTGGAATCTGAGACTCGTCATTTTTCCAAGTTTTTTTTTTCTCCTGAGAAAAATCTGAAGAAGCTTAGACTGATGGTCAGTGCAACTGGAACGCCACAAGGCTCCTCGGACGGGCCGAGAGAACGTGGTGGAACATCTGATGACTGCTCAGAGGCCAAAGAAACAATAAATACTCAGGAAGAGATGGATGTGATTTCCTGCACTGATCACTGCACATTTATGTGACCTCAGAGAAGCTTTTTACACAGACACAGCGACCGGTTGGGGTGGAGGAGGACGACATATGTACACACACATCTGCTTATGTTCCTATATAAAAACATATCTATATAATATATATA